TATTATCACAAATAAAAATGTTCTTTTCAGCACTAACAGATTTCATAGACATTACTTGTACATCATTATTGTCCATAAGGCCTTGGATAATACAAACATATCTGTATGTTATGGATTTTTTTTACCACCTAGGAATTTCACAAGCACATAGTTTCGCACACTAAGTTCTCCGTGAGTTAATGGGCAAAATTCTTTGTTAGAATCATCACAAAAGTCATCACAGCTGCTACCACTCTCGACCCACTCTTCATCCTTTCCATCGTCATCAGAAATATCCTGTTTAAGCTTCTCTTTCAGTAGACATTCTTGCTCTCTTGCAATTTTTTTTTGGTTTTTTCTTCTTCTTTGTTTTTCTTTTTCTTTTCATTTTCTTTATCTGAGGTTTTGGGTCTGGCCAAAACAGTGCTTTCTTAAAAATGGGGTAGGAACTTTGCATGGACTCTTACAAGTGTACATGTGATGTACTTGGTTCAGGAGTAGACAATGTATCTGAGCTATGAGTACCAGATATATTTGGTTGGAAATTTTTTACTGGTGTGCAGTTGAGTTGGAAATATGGTAATATTGTTTTGGATTCTACATTTAATTTGGTTTGGTAGTGTTTCCATTGTCCATTCTTTCCATATGTTAAAAAGGGATTTATCCTCAATAGAACCATTCCAATCCTGATTTTCATTTAAACTTACCTTGAGCCTATTTAAAGTTTCTTGACCCGGCTTTCCTTCAAAATACTTAAGTGCTTAAGTGACACTCTTTGTGTCACAAAGCTTGTCAAAAACAAGCGAAACCATTTGTCACTGGAACGGCTATGAATAAATGATTTCTCTCTTTCTGTAGAATTTATTATTTTCTGAACTGTATCCAAAAGCTGAACTTTTGAAACAGGAAAATGTCTTTCTGATAGATGTAAAATCCATTTCACTAAAACTGATTCATCTTCTTTGGTTAAAATTGTAAAAAGGTCCATAGAACAAAATAATGGTGACTTTCCATCTCTCTTATGCCTCAAAGTACTATGAGGAACTCCATGAATTTTTGCTGCCGTGGCTGCTGGGATTCCCTTTTTCATATTCTCTAGGGCTTTGGCCAATTGCTCTTTCGAATAATTCCGTTTAGGTGCCATTTCTGGAATGAATACAATACTTGTAATATCAAATATGAATGTAACCAATAATTGCCACTTTAGAACCAGTGATTGCCACCACTGGCAATAATTGGTAAAAGTAAAATTTTTGTAATAAAAAAATAGTGGCAACACCGTAATTTTAAATAGTAAATTTACACATTATAATGTGTAAAATGTGTAAAATATTTTGTAACCAGTCATTGCCAGATACATTTCTTTAGAAATATGTACCCTTAACTGAATTTATACAGCTAACAAATGTAGTTTAGAGTATTTAAGAGGAGCACATGTGTAAATAATTTTATAAAACAATCATTTACAAAAGTGAATAAGAAGAAGAAAAATGTACTTACCTTAATTTTTTCATAAGAAATCACAAAAAATAGAAAGAAACTTTACACAACACTACTCTAAGGGGTATACAACAAAAATCGCTGATGCCTGGGTATTGTACAACAGTATACAGTTGCCAAACATAATAAGGTATTAGTACTTGCAAAAAATATAATTTGATTTCAAGTAATTTTCTTATTTTCTTAGAATTTAAGGGTCAGTGGCAATAATTAGTAGAGTGGCAAGGACTGGTTGTTTACCTTAGTTCCATCTTTACCATAGTAATATAATCGTCTGTCCCCTGCTATATCATTCATGTCTTCCACATGCTATTGTGCAGCCTCTGTTGTCTCTTGCACATAATCAGTTCCGTGGTTTGAATATCTCTATGTCCTCATTAGATATAGACTTATCAGAACCATAAATCTCTTCGTCAGTTTGAGTTTCATTATATAGAGCTTACACTTGCAGACGCTGTATTTCCCTTTTATAGGCATCCATAGAACTAAAAAATATTAAATATCCTGAAATTGTTATACTTAATATTACACCTACCTGAGTGCAATAATTAAATCACTTGTAAAATACAGAAAATTATGCCAGAGTCCAATAATTGAATCACTTATAAAATACAAAAACACTATGACTGATTGGCGACTACATTTATTATAAGATACATCCTCGTTTATTAGCCTAAACTAATCTTATATGACTACTCTTATATGAGTTCTACTAAATCCTAGAGAACCGGAAACTCTTCTGTTTGGGTTGCCATAATTTAGCCAGTGGGGTCTAGATTTAAGGTACTGGACGCCCGCTCTCTCTCGCCCATCACATCATGGGTCTTCTTCTTGATGTGCCTATCCGTTTTGAATGTTGGCGATCATCATGGCAATCTTCATCTTATCTGCAGCAGTGCGGAAAAGATGCACGGATGTTGTATTGAACCAGATTCTGAGGTTCTTTAACCAAGATGTTCTTCTTCTTCCTGGACCTTGCTGTCCAAATATTTTTCCTTGCAGGATGGCTTCAAAGAGAGCATATCTGGATTCGTTTCGCATAATATGTCCGAAGAATTGTAACTTTCGAGATTTAATGGTGGCCAGTACCTCTCGGTTCTTACTCATTCTTCTGAGGACCTCCTCATTTGTGACTCGGTCAGTCCACGGGATCTTAAGTATTCTCCGATATAGCCACATCTCAAATGCTTCTAGTTTTTTGCACATATCTTTCTTTCTTAGAGGTATATTGAATAAAAAGAAGCAATATATTGTGACGAGGTGCCGACCACCGAGCCTCGCTGCGACTATCGTATCGATGCGAGGTAAAATAAATGCATTTTATTTTAAATTCCAGCGTTCACCGTCAGTGGTATGCTCTAGGCGAGGATACGATGGGATGGTCTTCGTAATTAACGCACCCTTTATACAATGCAAACTCCGTTGTTCACTGTTGTTCGATATGTGGACGGAAAGGTACTGGCGAACGCAGAGCACTTCGACATAAGATAAGCAGTCATACATTAGAAATAAATTGTCGCTGGTCTAACAGGCCCCACCCCACTACTCAAGGGTTAATAAAATAATCCAAAAGGCTTTGTAACAATTACACATGAATCTTTATGCATTTCTTTATTAAATTATAAATTAAATATTAAAATAATAAATTTAAATTATAAAATAGTAATGGTATGGGTTTGAGCTAAATTTAGCTAATTTTGTAAGGTATGCAAAATTGTCTCCGCATATAATCTTACCATTTATGCAATTTACTATTTTTATTTTGAATTAGCCACAATTTTACTTTACATTTTTACTTTACTATTCTGGCCTCCAATAAACTTTCTGTCTAATATTTCAACATCCACTACTTTTTTGTGTGATCCTCTCGATGTTATTTCGATGTTTTGGCTTCACAGTACGTGGTTTAATTTTTCTTATACCCTGTATATTACCTAGTTCATCTCCCGTTTTGTTCAGCTTAATTTGTCCAATGATTTTTTAAAGTGTATATATATACATATACTCATATTATGTAACTCTATTACATATTCATAAATCAATCATGTATTTAGTGTGTGTGAAAGGTTATAAATAAAAAAGAATCCACAAAAAATTGATATTTCTGCAGAATCAAGTTACATAGACTGGATATTTTTGTTACCACAATAGTGTTTTAACTGGTTTAGTCTCAAGTATATTTTATGAACTAGTCTACTTAGCTAATTCGTCACGTTTTTTTGGTAAATAAACCATATAAGAAAAACGAATATAAATTTCAGATTTTAATAGTTTTAAGTAATATTATCTCTGGTGCAAGTTGTATGATTAGACCGTGATTTTATCCAATACAATGTTATTCGTATTATGCTGTTAAAAGTAAAATCAGGACCATGGGGTCTATGGGTCATGTAAAGTCGGGATTCTAATGCACTATAGATAGCGATCATTTTCAAAGTTTGTCTAGATATTAAAGTAGAAAAGGCCCAAATGAGATGGGCAGATGAAATCAAGAAGCACGTGGGCTCTATTTGGATGACTGTAGCGATAGACAGAGAAGAATGGAAAAGGATTGGGGAGGCCTATGTCCAAAGATGGACCGAAGAAGGCTAATTAGATAGACTACAAGCCCATAATACATTTTTAGGGGATCATTTGTCCCAACATGAATTACATATAAATCAATACTACAATATGTAATAACAACTTTAGATTTAGAAACTATGCCGCCATTTCTTATCGGTACCTACTCAAAGCTTTTTCTTAGAGTATCGTCTCCCTAGGGACTAAGAAAAAGCTCTACTCCAAGGGCTATTTTTATTTTTAAATTTGCTGCTCTAAATAAATCAATCGATCTGCATTGATATCCAATATCCTTAAATTGATTAAATCAAACATAATATCAAAAACTCTAAAGACAATAAGGCAGCTGGATTAGATGAAATACCAGTAGAACTAATAAAACTAGTGGAAGAGGGTAACTTAAAAGTATTAGCAGATTTGTTCAATCAAGACGGTACGGGATTAATACCACAAGAGTGGTTGACGTTAGCGTTTATAACCATCCCTTAAAAACTAGCCACAAATGAGTACTCTGGCTATCAAACACTGAGCCTCGTGAGTCATACTTTAAAAGCACTGCTTAAATTAATACATAAGAGAGGAGAGTATTGGTGAAACGCAGTTCGAGTTCCGAAAAGGAATGGGTACTCGAGGATTCACCTTTTAATGAATCCTTGACTATTTACCTTATTGCTCTTTAGTGTTTTTATTTCCCTATAAAACTGCTAAGACTAACTGGTTCTGTGGTTGCTTTAAAGTTACTTAATCCAATTGTCTAGATAATGTGTTTAATTTATTTTTAACACTTTTCTCGTTTCTAATTCTATGGTAAGCTTCTCTATTCTTATTTGTTAATCTTGTTTTCAGCTTTAAACTTTACTGCACCACCTACCACCTTCCTACCTACTGCCTACTGCACCACTTTTTTTCTTTGATTTTGTCTTGACATATTTTTGTTTATTAATAATATATATTTACAGAATAAGAACAGATCTACCTTCTGAAACCATGGATACTATCCAAAACAACCATTTCTTAAAGATTTCATCATCAGAAAAAGAACCTATAAAACTAAAATTCGGAATAGATCAACTTCTCTCCAATGAAACCCTTCCAAAAGATAATCTTCCTAAAGGAATTACAAAGCCAACTCCGACAATCGCAATTCCATGTTCTGACTGCGTGTCCTCCATTTATCGATGTTGTAAAGTAGGTTCTTCAGGTTGTTCGCAGATCAGTGATATTCCGGAGTATTTAGCGGGACACATCTTTGGAACAAGCAGTGCAACAGGCGGTTTATACCATGCAACCGATTAGACCATTCCCCACAAGACCAAGTAAGTATTTTGGTATGCATTTACATTTTATCAGAAGGATATGTCACTGATATCACTGTTATTTTTTTTATGTCTTTTTTACTGGTTCACTATAAAAGAAGTTAGTTACTGTTAAACTGGGAATAAGCCACAATTAAAGATAAAAATACGTTTATTGACGTTTCAATTTCCACTTCGGAAATCGTTCTCAAAGTACAAACAGTAAATTAAACAAATTTTGTTTTTTGTTACATAGTGAAAAATTCTTGTAATAATTTAATTTTATCTGACTCATTTATATTGACAATTCAGACATACATTATGCATTTTAAAGTAGATGACTTTAAAATGATATTGCCAATATTGTTGAGTTGCGCTCCTGGGACGACTTTACTTATAAGATAGTTCATTCGATTACATGAAATCAACTTTAACTTGAGAATATCCGTCAGAAAAAATCATAGCATGTAATTCGTCTTTAAAAAAACAAACACATGACATGATGACAGTAAAATTTTCCTGTTAGTGATTCCATAGTAAATTATGAGGGAAAAACCAGGAAAAAAACCTCATAATACTATCCCGACATTGTAAGTATTTGTTCGTGAATTTAGTTTACCTTCAACAAACATCAAAATTCTGATTTTATATGTTACGTTATTTAAAAAACATAAATGATGTATCCTCTATATGTTACTGACTTACTAATACTGGTATTTTTCTTATTAATAACTTCCTCTTTCAATATTGGTAACCAGATGCTACTACATTCTGCCGAGGAATTTGCGACACAATTGGCCTCATTTAGCATAATTAGAGCGCTTCTTTGATTTTTCTTTTTTTACTATCCGTTTCTTTTAGGACTACATTTGAATTATTCCATTGAACCCTATGTTCATTATTATTATAGTAAGTCAGTAACATATAGAGGATACATCATTTATGTTTTTTAAATAAAGTAACATATAAAATCAGAATTTTGATGTTTGTTGAAGGTAAACTAAATTCACGAACAAATACTTACAATGTCGGGATAGTATTATGAGGTTTTTTTCCTGGTTTTTCCCTCATAATTTACTATGGAATCACTAACAGGAGAATTTTACTGTCATCATGCCATGTGTTTGTCTTTTTAAAGACGAATTACATGCTATGATTTTTTCTGACGGATATTCTCAAGTTAAATTTGACTTCATGTAATCGAATGAACTATCTTATAAGTAAAGTCGTCCCAGGAGCGCAACTCCACAATATTGGCAATATCATTTTAAAGTCATCTACTTTAAAATGCATAATGTATGTCTGAATTGTCAATATAAATGAGTCAAATAAAATTAAATTATTAGAAGAATTTTTCACTATGTAACAAAAACAAAATTTGTTTAATTTACTGTTTGTATTTTGAGAACGATTTCCGAAGTGGAAATTGAAACGTCAATAAACGTATTTTTATCTTTAATTGTGGCTTATTCCCAGTTTAACAGTAACTAATTTACTATGCCACAAGAAAATAGCTTCAGAACAATATAAAAGAAGTTGGTACGATCTACAGTTATCAACATTTAAACAATTATCGTAAAACTCTTGGTAAACTAAAAATTAAGAAATTTGTATAAAAATTTTGATATTTTTGAGTATGTTTATCCAGTAGCGCACCTATAATTTTCCTCTGGAGGGGGCATCTAAATTTTTTTATGATGTTACCTTCATTTTGAGTCCTTAAAATATGTGAGTAACAGTGTCGGAATAGGGTCCTGGGGGGTTTTAACCCCAAAACCACTCCTCCCGAGTGCGCCACTGCTGTTTAGCATTCAAGGAAAAATGTGGTATAGAAGTTAGTATAGACAAAAACTAATCAAACTGTTAAAAGAATAATAATTAACAATGGTAGATAATAACAAATGAATTGATACATTTATGAATTACGCTCAGTAAATATAATATTAATATATTCACTATAATAAAAAGTTATGGTTGAGTTTCTTTTTTTCAGTGTATACGAAAGACCAGAAAATTAAACGTTTTCCAATGTGCTAATTTCTAATAATAGGTCGAAGTATTTTTATTAATTTACAAATTTAAACACCTTGTATAACCAAATAATAGTAGTGTTGAAACGAATTCGGCCGTTCAACAGTTTTATGTACATATAAATCGAGCTATCAAAACACATCCCCAATCTCTGGCAAATGTATTTCACGAACAAATAATAATAAAAAAATTAATCAACGCTCCAACCAATCAATTACCAGTGATGATTAGAGACGATAAAAATTTAAAACATACTATATAATGGCTTGTAAATAAATGTTGGAAACCGTTGATGAGTACCAAATTTTGTAAGGAAGCATAAACAACATGCTTGATGTATAGTATTATAAACAGATTCACTGCTTTGTTTATAATTTAGAGATTTAAGTATTTTAGTTGTATATACAAGGCTTGCTAAGTGTTTATCTGATGGCAATAGAGAGGAATATATGTATGCTGTGAACCATTTGGTGAGCTTTGATAGATTTTACCGCAGGGCTGGCCTGAAAATATCCGTAAAAGTAGGTACGTAAGTTCATCGTCATCGTATAATAAACGTTAATAGTCACTAAATGAAAATAATAGACCAGGGAAATAAGCACAAAAAGTACCCTATTAGTGACACGGAATCGGCCAGATAAACGACAGTTGTTTTGAGTAGTATGGACCTCTGTAACAAAAATCTATATGTTTCCTGCTGTCGATTTTTTGAACCTAATTAATTATTAACAAATTAAGGTCAAAAAAACGGTAAATTTTCGCTTTTTTCATCTATCACCAAAAAATTAAGCATTTAAAACAAATTAGAGAATAAGAAACTTATGTCATATAAAAACTTCAAAATGGCGGTATCTAAATGTTCCTATCCTTATTTATTCCTAAGAAAGTTGCAAAATAAGTCACAAATTTTGGTTTATTATAAGGGTTAATAACTTTTTTAAAATAAACTTTGAACCTTTTATGTTACATACACTGTTGGGTATTGTAATATGATCAAAATTTTAGGAATAATAATTTTAAATCTTCTTCTTCTAATGGCGCTACAACCCTTTGTGAGTCTTGGCCTGCTTAACAATTCTGTCCTGTCGGATACTTTCCTTCGCCACTGCCTTATGTTCATGGTTTTAAGATCCCTCTCTACGTCGTCTATCCATCTTTTACGGGGCTTTACTCTTTACAAATCTAACAATATCTGCGCTCTGCATTAGTTCATCCAGCTCGTGGTTCATCTTAATCCTCCACGAACCATCGCTGCATTGGGTTGGTCCAAATATCTTCCTTAGTATTTTGCGCTGAAATATTCTCAGTTGATTTTCATCAGTGGTTGAGAGGGTCCACGTTTCACATCCATATGTGACCACTGGTCTTCTTCTTCTTCTTCTAGTTCCTATCCGTTTCGGATGTTGCAAATCATATTGGCAATCATAACCTTGCTCGCTGCGGCTCGAAACAGCTCCGTTGAGGTTTTCTTAAACCATGTTCTTAAATTCCGCAGCCATGATATTCTCCTTTTGCCGGGTCCTCGCTTACCTTTGACTTTACCTTGCAATATAGACTGTAGCAGGGAGTAACGGTGCTGATTTCTCATAACGTGTCCCAGATATTGCAATTTTATGCGTTTGATCATAAACACAATCTCTGGTTCCTTCTTCATTTTTCCTAGAACTTCCTTGTTCGTGATCCTTGCTGTCCATGATATTCTCATCATTCTTCTATAAAGCCACATCTCAAATGCTTCAAGTTTTTTAATAGTGGCGTCTGTAAGCGTCCATGCCTCGCCCCGTACAACAACACAGAGAAAAGATAGCATCTCAAATGTCTCATTTTTGTATCAAGGGATATGTTGTGACTTTTGAAGATGGCGCTCATTTTGTTAAAGACCGTTCTTTGCCTTTCCTATGCGGCACTTTATTTCCTGTAAATTGCTGTAAATGTAACAGTAATTAGACCACTGGTCTAATTACTGTTTAATACATTCTAAGCTTAGACTCACGATTCAGTAACTTACTTTTCATTAAGTCTTTATATGCATAAAAGCACTTATTATCGCTAAGAATCCGTGCTTTTATTTCTTGACTGATGTTGTTCTTATGTTGTTGTCATTTATTATTAAGCCTAGGTAGGGAAAAGTGGAGGCATATTTGTAGGTATGGTTGGCTACTTACAGATTCTCATGTTGATTCGTTTTCGTTACAGTTCTATAACTTTTTCGCTTAATACCCTTTTTGCGGCTTATTATGGCAATATCGTCCACATATGCGCATATTTGCATTGATATTGTATTAATATAGCCGTTTATATCCAGTTTTCTAACAACAGTTTCTAAAGATAAATTAAAAAGTGTTGTTGATAAGGCATCAACTTCTCTAACTCCATTTTTAATATCAAAGGTCTGCGTCATATCTCCCTCTATTCTCACCATTGTTTTGGAAAGCTCCAGAGTCATTCGTATAAGTATCCCTAACACAGATAGTTGCTTTAACATATTATTTTCGATCTACTCTATCAAACACCTATTTGAAATCGATATACAAGTTGTAAATACGTATGTTATATTCAACACATTTTTATGTATACCTCTTAACATTATGCATTTGGTCTATAGTATCTCCTCCGAAAACGATTCCAGGCGGCTGTATATAATTCCTGATGATATATTGTAGACTACATTTAAAACTGTTACGCCTCTATAATTTTTGCAGAGTCGTTTGTCTCCCCTTTTGTATATAGGAAGTATGATTCCTACTTTCCAATCTTCTGGGATGACCTCTAGTGTCCATATGCGGTCGATTAGTTTATGGATATGCCTCCATAGCGCATGTCCACCATTCTTTATCAGTTCTGCAGTTATTCCATCTGTGCCAGGTGCTTTGTTATTTTTTAGATGTTTTATGACGTTTATCGTTTCTTCTAATGTTGGTTGCTCAATTAGTTGTTTTGCTGTGTGGTGAATTATTTTTTCGTCTTCGT